CATGAAGACCACTCTCAAGAGAGAAGAGAAGAGATCATGTAGTTGCAGGTAATGTTGCAGCTTCAAGGTAGCATCAATGGATATTTCAAACACTTCTTCTGATTCATCATTATCTGTAGACAGTACCAAGCCTTTGTCCTTCTGAATCTTCTGTTAATCTCTCCCTTAGCCTCACCTTTCCTTCTACTTCTCCACAAAGGTCCTTCTTCACACCATTATTCTGTTTTTTCCTCTGCTCTGTTTCCTCTGTTTTTTTCTTTCACATTTGTGTATTTGAAGCTTTTTTGTAGAGAGACAAGACAAGATTGGCCACCGATTAAGTCTCTATTAAGAGATACACTTAAGGGTCGTCGTCTCCTTCGTCGCGGCGATGATACATCTTTATGTGTTAAGGTTTATATGGAAGGTGTGGCCATTGGAAGAAAACTCGACCTTTGTGCATTCTCTGGCTACGAGAGTCTATTAGAAAATCTCTCTCATATGTTTGGTACTTCAATCATCTGTAAGTAATTAACCGGACCACATAGAATCATGGAGTAACAAAAACATTCAACTAAATTTGTATACTTGATGAATATCCATGCATTGTCTTGGTTTTAGCAGGTGGTAATCGAGTAGAAAACATCATGTTTTGACATATCAAGACAAAGATGGTGATTGGATGATGCTCGAAGATATTCCATGGGAGTACGAATCTTTTTATTTCCATCTTATACATATTCCACAAACTTTTAGCTATTGACTAAAATGTTTTGGTTTTTGTTCAGTATGTTTCTTGAAACCGTGAGAAGACTAAAGATCACAAGACCGGAGAAGTGTTAAGAACTTGGATCGTTCAGTTTTCACATTTTGGAATCGGTGAAGAGACCTTCAACGTGGAACAGAGCTCTTGATGAGTATTGCAACAAAGGCATTAAAGAACTTGGAGAACTCTTCGGGAGAGTCCAGTCAAATCACTAAAGTAAAAGAAATGGAATGGAAACTAGTTATGGGTGGCCGAGGTAATCGTGGCTGGGGAAAAGGTGGTCGTGGCTAGTTTGTAAATCCACAATGTTTCTTTTGTGTAGTCGAAACGGAAGATTCGATTACTTTCTAAGTTCTTGTAATCGTGTACCAAAAAATGTTTGATGAGACACTTAATCCTCCACATTAGTCATTGCATCCGACAGTACAAGTAGTTACGTGGTCAAAACCATAGAAATGAATTGGAATGGGTCAAGCTATGGAGTAATAAAAATTCAAACTACTCGAAATCATACACAGGAGAGGATAAAAGCTATGAGTATTTAAATAAAGCAAGTTCAATCATATAAACCGAGTACTTATTATTAACCGAGTACTAAGCAAAAGATTCAAAAGGCAAACATACAATGAGGCAAAGTTTTTATACAAAGAAAACATTAACGTGGAAATGCTCATCCTTCAGAATCTTCATTCTTTGCCACGAAATCCTCTGCCTTCATCATGGAATCCTCTGTCATTTCATAGATAATCTTCTTCATTTCATAGATAATCTTCACTGCAAGAAGCACACTGCCACCAATAACCGCAGTAGCTGCTGCGGTAACCAAACCATTATGGACTTTGACGCCCACATCTGCTGCAAGTCTTCTTGCATACGAATGTTTCAAAACAGCACCAGGGGTATCACCAGCCTTAGCTCCGTTGGTAGTAGAATAGTGAGCTGGAAATCCAACAATGTATTTGAAGATATCAGAAGTGGAAATCCGAGCAAATCACTAACGACAATTATTTTACATACCAGCAAGGAAAGCATTAGATATCCGAGCATCTGCTTTGATCCGAGAAGAACCTATAGGTAACCACATTCCATTCTTATTGGTTCGAGATTTAAAGGCAA